GAGAGTAGTACTATGTTCAATGCTGTTAAAAAGGTAGGTGTTTGCTTCATCCCGGCTTTCAGTGAATATTTTTCTAAAAGAATAATTTGGTAGGAAGGACCTGAAGGTCACAGTGCGTACCAAAAGTATGTGGACACCCTAGAATCGCTTCTCAGGGGTCAGCTGAAAAGATGGCCGCATTGTGCAGAAGTCAACAGTTTTCAAGAGAATGGAAAATTTCGGGTGTTTACATACTTTTGGTACGCACTGTAGGTTGAAAAGGACTTGCTAGATACGACCTTCATGAGTTTTCCTGGATTTATGGATAGGTTAATTTTTTTTCGTTTCCTTATTTGGGCAAAAGTATTAAGTAGCTGGGACTTGATACGCTTCTGCTCAGGATCTTGATATTGAGAATGAAGGGATAAATTATTATATTTATCACAACAAGCTTTGTATGCTTGACATTAATTTTCTAGTAAGTTATTAGAGGTCGAGAGCAGGTAAATGTACTGAAATATTTCCCCTCATTTGTGTCGCATTTCGTTTAGCGCTTCTGGTATCCATTTCTAATGTTTTTTTTCGTTTCTCCATTTTTTCTTGCTTGCTTGGTCTTCGTATTCAAGTTTAATTTGTCCCCCTCTTTTCGTCATGTTTTCTTGGTAATTTCTTCAATTTTAGGCGCTCCACCTAACCACAGGGCTGGTTGTCGCAGCAAAAGTGAAGTGAAATTCTCCGCTTTCCTTGTTTTCTTTCCATTTAGGTTGTTTTGTTTTCATTCTCCTCTCTGGCTTTGATTGTTCCAAATGTCGGAAACAAATGTATGTTCTTTGTGTAAGCTGTTTTTTGAGGTGTAGTGTGGGTTATGAGATTAGAGCCATGTTTGTATCTATAACTATTACGACGTCAGACAATGGTTTTGTAGATTATTGGCAGGAAACAGAAGCGAAAATTCGATTAAGGTCTCAGAATTTGTTCTACTTCCATTCGTCTTCTCGAAAACAACCATTGGCTCTGATGTGACCTGTATTACATTTTTCAAGACGAGATTCTTATTGCAGGGGCGATTATACGTCATAGTTATATTTGTTCTCTTCTGTTGTTGAAGTTTCGGCAACTCTAACTACTTTATGCGCCAATAGTGCTAATTGACTTGCCGGTTACAATGTGTTGTTCACTTGCCGGCTACGAATTGCTGTTGTGTTTTTTCTTGCCGTAGACATTTCTGTACGTCTAACGAACTATTAGTTAGTGGTGTAAAGGTTTCTTGTGTGTGTGCAACGTTCATGTGTTGTGAATGGCTTTCAGCATTTCTACTTAAATGAGAGCTATTGTGATAAACAATTAGCAAGCATAGTGGTGTTTCATTTGATTTGGACATTTGCACGACAAATGGGGAGCTAGAAGGCTTTGAAAGGTTCTCTTAGGGATGCGCCATGCCTATCATTGCCAGACGTAAAATCTCAGTATATTAAAAAAAGCGAGGGTCAAACTGACAGTGGCTTCGATCAGATTGTACCTGATCTTGGTTCGATTCTTGAATTTACAGCGTGCATACATGAGACCACTTTTTGTAACCTTAATACTCACTTTTCTGCCCATTAGTTCTTTGGCCACTTTTTAGCTTCCAAGAAAAATCTACCGTATACCTTTCTTCTGCTTTTCCCATTGCTATCACAACAAAAAACCTGCTGATCAAAAATAGCGAGATAGTCGCTACGCGCTCTCACGCGAAGACAGCTCCGATCCGAAATTCTGCATAAATGCACTTTTGTTGAGCGATCGTAGATTGTCGACCAGGATGCCTACAACGCCGAGGCCGTTGAGCGAGCGTATTCGCAGTGTGACACTGGCCTATGAGTGCCAGATGGAAGTACACTGGATGAAGCCTTCTTTGAGCGGTCAAGCTGAAG